GATAAGGAAGATGTTGTTTTTTTGTTTTTGTTTTTTTTTGGTACCGGGGATTGAACTTGGGTCCTTGCACCTGTGCAGCAGGCGACGAAACCACTGAGCTAAATCCCCGGCCCAAGATGTGGTTTTTTAATACAGTGCAGTACTACTCTGCCAAGGATAAGCTTGAGACATTTCTAGCTAAATGGATGCACCTTGCGACCATACTCTTTCTTTTTCTTTTTCTTTTTTTTTTTTTTTTTTTGCTACCAGGGATCGAACTCAGAACCTTGCGCTTACAAGGCAGGCGCAGTGCCACTGAGCTAAAATCCCTGGCCCGAGACTATACTCAAGTGAAATAAATCAGACATAGGTGTTTACCACATTGTTTCTCTGATGTGAGAAACAGTGTAAATAAGGACCAAAATGTGTAATAGATATTGGGAAATGGGAAGAAAATGTTCAAGTGTGAAGGGGAACAAGGGAGGGGGAAGGAGAAAGGAAAGAAGGGACAAGAAAAGAAAAATAGGAAAAAAATGGAAACAAAAGCTTTTGTAAATGAGGAGAAGGGTTAAAAGGGGGAGAGGGGAACAAGAAAAAAGAAGATATATCAAATTCCCTATGATGAGTGTGATCATATGGATCTCTGAAATGTACCACTAGACAGAAGAAACAATTATAGCTGTGACTGCTGGCTCTCCAGTGGGAAACTGGCTTAGATTCATGTTTTACTTGTTTTGCAATTGCCAGGTGGGTCAGAGTTAACAAGTTGGGTGGACTAAGTAGGCAGATTGCAGAGCTTTGGGACTTGGGTATGACCCACGGTGGCTGAACTCATCTCCATGCACACCTGTGGTCACGCACAGGACTCTAGCTGTCCCCTCGGCAACAGTGACTCGGCCTGTCAGCCCTGACAAAGACTGCGGTAGTGATGCTGATGGGGAAGTCTTCGTACTTCCTGCTCAACCCTGCTGTGAGCATGAAACTGCTCTGAAACAATAAAGTTTACTAATATTTTTAAACTAAAAGGGGAAACAAAGCTGAGTGCCACTTGGGAATAAAGCTCAGCTACTGGGAAGAGGCTGAGGCAGGGGGATTGCTTGAGCCCAGGAATGGAAGGCCAACCTGAGCAGCATAACAAAGCAGTTTCTCTTAATAAGAATTAAAAACAAAACAACAGAAAACAAAGTATTTGTTCCAAAAGGAGAAATACACTATTGAGGAGATGTAAATTATTCTTAAGGACAGAATGAAGATAGAGTGCTCGCTTCAGCAGCACATATACAAAAGGAAGATTGAAAACTCTGAGTGAAAGTGTTTGTATCAGAATACACGGGCGTCCATGCAGTGTGCAGTCAGATGTGTGCTAACACACAGATGTGTGCTCGCCAACAAAGTCTGAAAGTATTTGAGGCCAACATAAACAGCTCCGCTCAGTCATCGGTGTAAGCAATGTCATCAGGACCCATTTCCTCAGTCTCGGCCTGCGCCCGCTCCTCACGGGAATGCTGCCATGCAAACATGGACCGACAAAAAATAAAGTGAAAAGGTTGCATTGTCTCCACTTATCGCTTTCTAATGTATTCCCTCGTATGTAAACTATTTGACCATTTTGAGTAGAACCTAAGTATTTAGGAAATTATCCACAGTGGGGGGAAAGTAATCTTTACAAAAATCTTCGCAAAATCTGAACGCTCTTGTTAATTGTTGTTTGAATGCAGGGAAAGAGCAGGCGCGGTGACCCCCTAGGGAGCCACAGGCCCAGAAAGCCAAGGCTGCCCAGGTGCCCCCCACCCCGCCATCCACAGTGGGGTCCTGGACACAGCCGCAGGATCCTCCCCGGCACTGTTCGCCATCGCTGAGCACGGTGTAAATGGCTTTGTACCATGTTGTTCAGGGAATAATAACAAAAAAGTCTAGTAAGGCGTGGTGGTTCACACCCAAAGTCCCAGAACTCGGGAGGCTGAGGCAGGAGGAACACTGCCAGTTCAAGGCCAGCCTGGACTCCATAGTGAGACCCTGTCTCAGAAACACAAAGAACAAAGAGAAATCTGTGTGGGACCCGTGCAGGCGTGGCACTTCCGCTCCCGCTGCAGGGTCACAGAGGAGGAGACCCCGCCACACAGAGGTGTTCGAGGTGTGCACCCCAGGAAGGAATGGCTGCAGAGACCGCTGAGGTCAGATGGAGTTTATCACGCTGGAATTTAGGGAGGAAAATCACCCAAGTGATTGCTAAACTGTGAGCCAAAGCGAGTGCAGCGCCTTTTACCAAAGATGAAAGAATTCTTCACTGAGCCGCCTCATCTGCAAGCCACCAGCTTTTCTCTTTTTTTAGTACTGATTGGACCCTGGCCTTTGCACTGAGCTACACCCCCAGCCCTTTTAAAATTTGTATTAGTTTTTGTGTGAGGCAGCGTCTCACTAATTGAGTCAGTTACCCAGGCTGGGCTGGAACTTGCGATCCTCCCGCCTCAGCCTCCCAGAGCGCTGGCGTCCAGGGCGCGTCGCTGGGCCCAGCTGAGCGCGTGGCCCTTCACGGGGCTTCCCTTCCTGCTGGCCTCCCTCCTCCGGCTCAGTGAAAGGCACTTCGAGCTCCTCCGAGCAGCGGAGTCTCCGTCGCCTGCCGTGGTTGCGGCTGCCCCTCACCGGCCCGGCCTGGTTCCGCTCAGACCCGGTCCCCACCAGCGCGGGGCTCCCCTCACCCCTCACGGGGGGGCGGGGGGGGGAACAAGTGGATCTGGGGAACAAGGACTGAGGGCAGGGAAGGGAGAAGGGAGACGGGGAAGGCGCTCACCTGCGCTGCAGCCCAGGCATAGAAACTTTTAAAAATTCGTTAGAGACAACGAACTGCACCTGTGCAGCTGGCGCCTGCCGAGGCCTGGACCTGTGCTGGTAAATACCGGATCCATGCCCTTCCTGGCCCGCGCTGCTGACCTCACAGGAGCGGAGCCCAGCAACCCTCAAAAGAGGGCGAGAGAATGACTGGCTGGGCGGAAATGGGCCTGGTGCCTCGGGAGCCAGATTCACCTCAATCTGCTCACCACCAGCCATGCTCATTCTGGCTTAAGGAGGCCTGGGGTTTTTCTGTTCAGAACACTTCTGAAAAAACCACTTCTGAGGCTGGGTGTAGTGGTGCAGGTCTGTAATTCCAGCTACGCAGCAGGCTGAGGCCAATCTGGGCAACCTATCGAGAGAGACCCTGTCTCAAGAATTAAAAAATAGGGCCGGGGGTTTAGCTCAGTGGTGCCACCACCTACCTCACAAGCACAAGGTCCTGAGTTCAATCTCCGGTACCAAAAATTAAAAATAAATAAATAATAATAAAAGTAAAAGGTTGGGCATACCAGAGCACTTGCCTAGCCTGAGCCACGTCCTCGGTTCAAAATAAAACCAATTCTGAGAAGTAAAACACTGAAAGAGAAGCAGAAGGTATGGTGACCCACAAATGACAGCCTCTTACCAGGAGTTTCTGTGTGCACACAGCAGCGTGGATGGAACCCTCAGAATTCAGGAGCCCGCCATGACTGCAGTTTCCTTTGTAAGTACTGGCAGTGGGGCAGGGGGATCTCTCCTGCCCACAACTACCCCAGCCTGTCCATAACCTACCAGGCGTGGCCTGAAGTAATGGTGCACGCCCATCGTCCCAGCACTCAGCAGGCTGAGGCAGGAGAATCACTGAGTTTGAAGCCAGCCTGAACTACATAGGGAGACCCTGTCTCAAAAGAACAAAAACAACCTACAAGGCAGGCAATCAGCCAGCTGCCCTGTACTGCCCACCCGCCCTGTGTCACCTCCCTGGGCCCTCAGGGCAGGCCTGCAGGTGAGCACTGTTGTTCTCACCTTAGCAGAGCAGAGGACCCTGAAGAGGTCACGTGACTCACCTGGGCAGGTCTCCCTGGAGCGGTTTGGACCAGGCAGGCTGCTCCAGGAGCCTGTGTGTGAGACCTAAGTGCAAAACACACTCACTGCACTCTGCCACTGCGAACCGTTCCTGACCTCAGGCGAGGTGCAATTTATAAGACTGAAGGAATCAAACTGCTGGAGTTTGGCTAGTTTGGGGGTTTTGTTTGTTTGTTTGATGAAAGACACCTCAATGCCTGCCCAGGTCTTCATGAGCTGTGGTTGTAAGAGCTGTGTTTTACACTAAGGGTGTTGGAGAAACTAGTTATCTATATAGCTGTCTCTCTTGGCAATAAAACAAACTTTTTTTCTGGATGTTATATTTTTTCCTCTTAGAAAAGAATTTTAAATTAATTAAAGAATTTTAAGTGTCAAATAACTTGCTATATTCTGTCTCTAACAGAGCTAAGAAAGAAAGGTCAAGGCCAAGCGCCAGAGCTCTGGGTTCAATCTCTGGCATCACATGAAGAAGGAATTGCAAAAATAATTTCAACATTGCTCGAATTGTAGTTTAGCCGTAATCTCTGATTAGTATTTCTGAGTAGAAAAGGCCGTTTTATGATCCGTATGTTAAGAGCTAGTAATTTTAGGAAGTACTGGGTAGTGAAAGAGAAACTTCCATTTGAAATAATATCAAGTCAGCGAGGTATAATTTTAAATCCCCATCGGTGTCTTGCTTATTAAGTAGACATGTGCTAGTGTACCTAATAATGCGATATACGTGAGGGACCCAAGTAATCTTCAGACTTGGTGGTTTTAATCAGTGTAAGATTTGTATTTGGGGGGGGGGGTCGGTACCGGGGATCGAACTCGGGTCCTTGAGCTGGCGCAGCAGGCGGCGAAACCACTGAGCTAAATCCCCGGCCCTAAATTTGTATTTTTTAAAAAAAGTTTTCCAGCAAAAAAAAAAAGAAATTGTGTAGAAAGAAATTTTCCAAAGTGCTACCTGAAGAGCAAAGGGTTGTTGCTGTCGTCGTTGTTGCAGTTTTGCTTACTTTGCTGTTCCCCCGCAGAGCTGACTTTTTTGGAAATGACTTGTGCCCACCTCGCTCAGCACCGAGGGTTCGCCCTCCGTCGCCCCGCCCCCCTCCCGCAGTCTGGGACAGGGAGAAGGAGGGACGGGGACGCCGGGCGGGGGCGGGCTTCCACTTGTGGATCGGCGGCCGTCCTCCGCGCCCTCCCCAGGCCCGGACTGGGTGGCGGCCACGGGCCGACGTGGCACCGGGTGGCTGCCCTGGGTGCAGCATGGGCACAGATGCTTGGCAGGAAAACGGACAGGAAAAGCCCCCGTCTCCTTTCTCTGGACCCCGGCGCCTTCTTCCTCTGGTCTGCGGTTTAGCAGGGCGCCAGGCCACTGCGGCCAAGTCTGTGACTTCGCGCTCGCAGCTTGGGCAGGAGGACCCGCTGCTGCCCGTCCCCTCCCCTGCCGCTTAGCCCCGCGTCCCTGCCATGGGGTGCGGACTCAGGAAGCTCGGGGACCCCGAGGACAGCAGCCCTGGGAAAATCTTTTCCACCCTCAAGAGACCGCAAGTGGAAACAAAGACGGACTTGGCTTATGAGTACGTGCTGCTGGATTTCTCTCTGCAAGGTACCGTGGGCTCCTCTTTGATCTGCTCAGTGTTTCCAAAGTGAGGCTGCTCCTTGGCAGCGCAGACTGTGGGTTCTCGGACTGTCCTCCGTAACCACGTTGTAAAATCCATCGGACAAGCGCTCTTTGTTCCTTCAGCAGAGTGGGAGAGGTTTTTGTCTTGCACCGTGGCTGGTAGGCATTTTACAAAATTAGGAAAACTGCTTGGGACTGTTTCTTCCGTTCGGAAACCAAACAGTTGTGGGAGGGTTGGCGAAGATGCTCCGTTTCCAGGCCAAATGGCCATGGCCTCGGTGACAGCTTGTGTTTGAAAAGGGCTGATGCTACTTGTGTCAAACTGTGGGAGACACGGGGCGACTCGGGCTGCCAGCTGTGTGGGATTGTGTGATTGGGCCACTCATCTGATATTTCTGACCAATCTAAATTTAAGTCTGAAACTGTGGCTTAAGAAGAAGGGGAAGGCAGGCTGCTGGGCGACGCGCCCGTCCCTGACAGAAACTCTGTCCCTGACAGAAACTCTGTCCCAGAAAGTTGGGAACAACATAAACAAGTCCAGATGGCTCCTGCGAGGGACGAGGGACAGGGCGGGCGGCTGAACACGCCTGGCTGCTTCCTCTGGGACCCTGGGTCTGGACGCTGCACAGACAGAAGCACCTTCAAACAGAGTTCCGTCTCTATTCGCTGTGCACTAGAAATGAAATTTAGGCAACTTGCTTGCTGCTGAGATGTCCAGACACCAGGATTTTAAGATCTATTACAAACATATTTTTAACCCTCATAAGCCACACATTTGGTTGAGACAGACTAACCAATCATCGTGCTGGGTGGTGTCTGAATTCTTTTCCAACTTGAACACAAATTCTCTTATTTCTTCTTCTCCTCCTCCTCCTGCTCTTCCTCCTCCTCCTCCTCTTCTCCCTCTTCTTATTTCCCTCGCTCTGGAAACAGTACATCTTTGTGCAAGAAGCAACAGCAGCCCATTTTTCTTTGTCAAAAATTGAGCTGGCCAGCACACAACTCCCTCCCAGCACACCCTCGCGATTCGCACATCTACTTTTCACACATCTACACGCTCCTTTTGATCTCAGGCCACCAAGGGAAAACGATGTTAGGGTTCTTAATTTTCTTTTTAACTGTGAAAGTTTAAAATGGGTTAGGATAGCAGTGATAGTAAGAGAAGCAACCAAACAGTCAAGAATTTTTTCTGTACTTTTTCAAAAAGCCCCACCACTTGAGAAAACACTAACCTTGAGGGCCGGGGATTTAGTTCAGTGGTTTTGGAGCCTGCTGAGCAAGCGCAAGGACCCCAGTTCCATCCCTGGTACTGAAAAAAAAAAAAAAGAAAACACTAACTTTGAAAACGAGTCTATCCCTGAAATCTAGGCCGAGCCACCCTGAGGGTCACAGGCTTTGGAAGGGGAAGTTTCTCCGACGAGTTTCTTCCCCACAGTGTTCATAGCTCTCAGGAGTGAGGGCGCAGGCCTCGGCCTTGGGTGGGGTGATCTGCAGCTCCTTCTGAGGCCCTTTGGCCGGGACCCCAGTGTGGAGGGGCTGCGACGAGCCCGTGGGTGACGGAGAGCATGTGCATGACACAGCAGACACGGGCCAGAGCACACCCAGCTCCCTTCAGCTTAGTGCCTGGGTCTCCCCACGGCTCTTCGGGTTTCTGCTCCGGGCTTTGCTCTTGCACTTGTGTTGGCCTCTGCTGCTCCACAAACCCGTCCAGCTCACCGGCCTCCCCCTTGCCCCATGCCCACCTGCGCCCCGGTGTCCACAGGCTGCTCAGGCGGACCTGGTGGCAGCCGGGTGTGTCTCTCCTGGATTTCCAGGCAGAGGCAGGGGACAGACAATGCATCCCAGCCTGTGTCCAGGTGCCATCGTTACTCGAGCACGTGGTTTGTTCTCCATTCAATTCTGTCTTTCTCTCCCCTTGCAGTTTCACAAGTTCATCTCAGGTTGTGTAACACCAAGCTCCGGGTAGTACCGGCGCTCACAGAGAGTGAGATGCTGCTCTCATCTGAGTGCAGTATGTTTCACGTAGTCACCTCCGCCCTCTGCCTTCACCTGGGAAGGACCTGCTGTGGTCCTGTGCCCAGGGAGGGCCGTGTATCTCCAGCTAGGGACCCTCGTGTCTCTGTCCTCCTTTACACCTGACTCCCCAGAAACTCTGACCGGTTAAAGCAGCTCCTGCATTTCTCCTCTGGCGACAGTCATCATCGGTTACTGAGGTGTTCTCTTCAAGGTTCACACACTTTCTTCTTATCTGGCCACACAGTTATTCATTTGTATTTGTGCAGCCGTAACTAGACAAAGGCCGTGTGAGAAGTCGCTGCTTGCACTGCCCTGATGAGGGTTTTACCGAGTCTGGAAGAACCTGAAGATGTCACTCCTCCTTGAAGGAAGGCTGAAGTCCCAGCCAGTAGGCTGAGATTTTCTGGAGCTTTATGCCCAGTCCACCAACCTGGATATGGAGGTTTCAGGACAATTTTGGTAATGTTTTCCAGATTATTGTTCTGATTTCTCTCTCACCATGCTGTAGTAAGCTAACAGGTCATTAGCATCTTTGACTTTGGCTGAGTAGTGAAAACTGGAAGTTACCCAGAGATTTCTTAGTGTGTACCTGTGTGTGTAGAAGGGGTGTAATGTGAGTGCTATAACAGAATCACTCAATGAAAAGTTAAATTAACTTTGCAAACAAGCCAAAATCATTAGTTTACCTTCTTCACAATCCCAGAAAGCAATCTGAATGTCAACCACCTCAGCGGTTTTTAGACCATTTATAACATTTTGGGTGAAAGGAGTTTCTGCAACACAAACCCGCCAGAGGGACAGATGGTAGCTTCTGATTTGAGTTTCTGGTACAGCCACATAAATTTATGCTGGTAAAACCTGCTGGTTTCTGGCTTGCTCCACTGTTCCAGGAAGAAACTGTCTTTCACCACCCTGCTAGTGGCAGTGTACCCTGTGTACAGTGATTAGCTCTGGAAATGCAGAGAGGGATGAGATGTTCTGCCTCCCTTTCTGGTGGTCAAACTGAACAACCCCAGGAGTCCTTGGGGCAGGGATTCCTTGGGTCCCGCACAGGGTTCGAGCACAGCAGTGCCAGGGAGGTTTGTTGAGTGACTGAGTGAGTGCTGGGTGAGGGAAAGACTGCAATGCAAATGCACCCTGCAGGAACTGATAAGCAGCAAGAAGTGGCAGGATAAGGAGATATTGATTTGAGTAGGGTTGGAGGGAACCTAAGTTTGGATGTTAGTGACCTTGAAGAAAAATCAGAGCTTAGATGAGGAGAAAGGGACGAGGGGTGAAGGTGCGGCCCAGCCCTGGGGCCAGGGTAGGAGCGGAAGCTGCTGGGAGACAGAGGGTGAGGCTGGGGACAGTGGAGCAGGGAAGGCCCAGGCTTGGCTGGGGGCTGAGTCTCAGTCCGTGAAGATGAAGAATGAACGAAAGGCAGGCAGTGGGGCGGAGTTCTGAGAAGGGTGAGTGGGGTTGCGGCCAGGGAGCCAGGTGGCGCGAAGGGAAAGGTCGCGGTGCTCCTGGGTCCGCGCGGCTGTGACTGCACCCGGCTGGAGTCGAGGGCTGGCGCAGTCCCACTGCAGGCGGCAGCACAGGGCCTGGGCGTCCTGGCCGGAAGGGCTGAGGCGCACACGCGCAGGAGCCAGTTCCTCAAGTCCTCAAGAGAAGGCGGGCCTGCACAGAGCTCGGTGCTGAGCCCACCCAGTGTCCAGGGCAAGGGTTTGGGCGCAGACACATAGAGAGCAATCTGATGAGCTGCCTGGCTTGGTGACGCACGACTGTGATCCCAGCCCTTGGGAGGCTTAGGCAGGAGGATCACTGTGAGTCTGACCATCATGGGCTGTAGTGAGACCTGGTCTCGTTAAAAAAAAGAAAAGAGAGAGAAGAAACAAAAACACTCCAGAGTAAGGACGGTACTGTAGCGAACATGGGAAGAGGACGGTTTTGAAACACAAGAAGTCATTGATAATTTTAGAGAACATTCAAGAAGAATAAAGACTAAGTACTACAGAGAATGGACTTAAACATCACGAAGAAATGAATAAAGGGTCAGAGTGAGGGTTAAACGGAAGAGAGAAGGAAAGGAGGGCTGGCTGAGCCCTCCTGTCTGTGTCAGCCTCAGAAGGCTGGGGCAGGCGCCCTCCAGGGCCAAGGCCTGTCCGATGGGAAGTGCTGTGCAGAGACGTCAGGGAAAACAATGGAGCCCGGCCACACTGCTGCCCAGCCCACTGCTCGCCAGGGACAAGGAGCCCCTTGCGTTGGGAACGATGAGACATTTTCCTGAGAAAAATCTCAAATCCAGACTATCGTGGGACAGAAACTGGATTCTGGGCTGAGAGAGGAAGGAACTTCTAATAACAGTGCACAGTTGACCCACTTTTTAATGTTGTTGTCAGATGCCACTGCATGTGAGTTCCTGTCTGGACTCTCCCTGCCCCAGGAGCCCCTGCCCTGTCTCCAGAGACATTTGTTTGCTTCTGAATGAAGGCTTGCCGTGTGAAGATCCAGGATCCAAGAACAACAAAACAACCCTGCCCTCTAGGACCCGTGTCCTGGGAGCGCCCAGGGAGGGACCGTGGCCAGGAGCCAGGAAATGCAGCCCCCGTTCCGGAAGCTGGAGAAGCGCAGCTCGGCCTGCAGCAGGCAGGGACCAGAGAGGAAGTGTGCCACCACAGTGGGCTGCACGGAAAGGGGATGGTGTCGGCAGGGCAGAGGCTGTGTCCAGAGTCTGCAGAACATAGCCTGTCAGTCAGGAGAGGGAAGCCAGCTGAAGCAGGGAAGAGGAACTCGGACAGGCGGGACCGGGAACCCCAGATGGGAAGCATGTGACACTGCACCACCTCACAATCAAACAAGAGCGTGCACACGAAGACCACAGCGAGAAGCCACTGCACATCATGCAAAATGCCAACAGTGGAAAGGGCTGCCCGCGCCAGGCACTGGTCTATTGTTACATCCATTTAGGGGAGAAAACCACTTGGCGT